TTCTAAACTGAAATGGGGTGCACCACTGCAAGAAAAAAAATCTAGTTCATTTAACCAGTGCAGAGTTTCTACAGATCTGTAGAAACTCTGCACTGGTTAAATGAACTAGATTTTTTTTTTACTCTCCTACAGCTGACACTAACTAATCATATTTAACAACATAACCTTATATACCCTTACACACTTAAAGGGTCTCTATAAGCAGCTTCATCTCAATAAAGTGGTTTGGACGCCATGTTCTTCTAGTTTCAACCCTGCAAGTGAAAAGATTGCTGTTCATGCAGCGTGATCAAAAAAGTATGTAAACATACTGTTTAAGTCCTTCTGGGAGCCTGACACCTAAACAGTCCTTCTACGAGGCACAAGAGTGTGAGTATCCATCTTAGTTTAGTCATGTGCTTTCTCATTTGGAATTCCCTGACCTAATTGGTGACTAGCACACTACAGAGTTAGGAATACCCATTTAATGGTTATATATATTAAATAGAATTGTCCCAACAAGGCAGGAATCAGCATCTCAGATTACCAAACCACATAAAATATCGTATAAACTGTATGACCTATCTGAGCTGATTCCTGTGGAATAAAAAATGTACATATATTGTATAAGAATCAATTTTTCTGGTATAGACTTATAGACTAAGGTCTGGTAAAAGAAACATCAGTTAATTTATTTCTGGAATTGCCAATGGAAACAAAGATATTTATCTGAAACATGTAAATGGCCTATCTTTTTTAAACCAGCTTTTAAACTGGATTCTGTAGTTACAGTTAACTAGTAAAATGATAATGGGAAGTTTTAATAAATTACATTTAAGTTACGCAATGATCGCTCAGAATCAATCTAGAAGGCAGCACATTGAATGGTTTCTTCACGTGCAAAGATCTTTAATGGTTGAAGATTCATCTGCAATGTCAACTACAAAACCAACCAAACAAATAAATAAAATGTTTTAGGAATTAAACATCCCTAATAATCACTTGCCTTATATATACTATTTTGAACATGTCATTTATAAGCACCTAAGGTTTTTTTCATTAGATACAGTGAGGGAAAAAGGTATTTGATCCCCTGCTGATTTTCAACGTTTGCCCACTGACAAAGAAATGATCAGTCTATCATTTAAATGGTAGGTGTATTTTAACAGTGAGAGACAGAATATCAAAAAATAAAATCCAGAAAAATGTATGTCAAAAAAGTTATAAACATTATAACTATATGAAGATAATGTATAATAGTACAGATATTATAGCTATATGAAGATAATCTATAATAGTATAAATATTAGAACTATACGAAGATGATGTATAATAGTATAAATATTATAGCCATATGAAGGTAATCCATAATAATATAGATATTATAACTATATGAAAATAATCTATAATAGTATAGTTATTATAAATATATGAAGATAATCTATAGTAGTATAGATATTATAACTATATGAAGATGATGTATAATAGTATAAATATTATAGCTATATGAAGATAATCTATAATAGTATAGATATTATAACTATATGAAGATAATCTATAGTAGTATAGATATTATAACTATATGAAGATGATGTATAATAGTATAAATATTATAGCTATATGAAGATAATCTATAATAGTATAGATATTATAGCTGTATGAAGATAATCTATAATAATATAGATATTATAACTATATGAATATAATCAATAATAGCATAGATATTAAAACTATGTGAAGATAATCTATGATAGTGTATATATTATAACTATATAAAGATAATCTATAATAGTATAGATATAACTATATGAAGGTAATCTATAATTGTATGGCTATTGTAGCTATGTGAAGATAATCTATAATAGTATAGATATTATAACTATATTAAGACAATGTATACTAGTATAGATATTACAGCTATATGAAGATAATCTATAATAGTATTATTATTATTATGTTATTTATATAGCGCAATCAAATTCTGCAGCGCTTTACAATGGGTGCACAAACAGACATGTAGTTGTAACCAGACAAGTTGGACACACAGGAACAGAGGGTTTGAGGGCACTGCTCAATGAGCTTACATGCTAGAGGGAGTGAGGTATAATGACACAAAAGGTAAGGATAGTACAGATATTATAGCTATATGAAGATTATCTATAATACTATAGATATTATAACTATATGAAGATAATCTATAATAGTGTAGATATTATAGCTATATAAAGATAATCTATAATAGTATAGATATTATAGCTATATGAAGATAATCTATAATAGTATAGATATTACAACTATATGAAGATAATCTATAATGGTATGGATATCATAGCCATATGAAGATAATCTATAATAGTATAAATATTATAACTATATAAAGATAATCTATAATAGTATAGATATTATATCTATATGACTATAATCTATAATAGTATAAATATTATAACTATATAAAGATAATCTACAATAGTATAGATATTATATCTATATGAATATAATCTATAATAGTATAGATATTATAGCTGTATGAAGATAATCTATAATAGTATAGATATTATAACTATATGAAGATAATCTATAATAGTATAGATCAGGGGTAGGCAACCTACGGCACTAATGCCATGCACGGCACTTGAGGTGTCTTTGCACAGCACTCAAGGCTGCTAGAGCCAAACACCCTCTCGCCTATCAGGAGTCCCAGTAAAACTTCAGATATCTGCTAATACAAAGAGGTGGTGAAGGAGAAACCTCAATTTATCCATTGCAGCACATAGAGGAAGTGATCCCAGATCACTTCCTCCCAGCACATGTGAATGGGAATCCACACCGTAGTAGAGCAGCCTTCAACAGCTATCGCAGCTCCTGTTCTTGACCTGTGTCTGGCAAGCCTGGTCCCCACTGGAACCCAAACACACTGCTAAATATACACAGAAATGTAGAATAACCCTCCCCTCATACAAATAATATGAACAGCCCCCCCACACACACACACACACACACAACACACAATCCCCACAAACGGAACACCACTAACAATATACATACATGCACACAACCCCACATGCAGCCACTCACATGCAATACCCCAAACAGCCCCCACACACTACCAAACCCACAATGTGACATATCCATCCACACACAATTCCACAAGCAGCTCTTATACACAGCCAACATTCATATGTATCATACACGATACCATAAACTACTAATGAACATATACAATATAATAGCTCATATACGCACAAATAAAACGATACAAAGCAATTACAGTAAAAATAACACAAGCAGAATACGGTAGCATACACACCTCAATTTAAAAAAATAGGATCGGCACGCTACGGGACATCACAATCCTATATCGGCACAGTGCTGCTAAAAGGTTGCCTACCCCTGTTATAGATATTATAGCTATATGAAGATAATCTATAATAGTATAGATATTATAGCTATATGAAGATAATCTATAATAGTATAGATATTATAACTATATGAAGATAATCTATAATAGTATAGATATTATAACTATATGAAGATAATCTATAATAGTATAGATATTACAACTATATGAAGATAATCTATAATAGTATAGATATTATAACTATATGAAGATAATCTATAATAGTATAGATATTATAGCTATATGAAGATAATCTATAATAGTATAGATATTATAACTATATGAAGATAATCTATAATAGTATAGATATTATAACTATATGAAGATAATCTATAATAGTATAGATATTATAACTATATGAAGATAATCTATAATAGTATAGATATTATAACTATATGAAGATAATCTATAATAGTATAGATATTACAACTATATGAAGATAATCTATAATAGTATAAATATTATAACTACCGTATATACTCGAGTATAAGTTGACCTGAATATAAGTCGAGACCCCTAATTTTTTTTTTTTATTCTTTATTTTTTCGTGCATGAGTTAATTTAACAAGCATTCATGTCATGCCCCAACAGCAGTGACATGCATTGAAATTGACAAAGTATAACAGTTGTGGCATATGAAATCGATGCACATTTTTGTATGAGGGTTATCAAAGGAAACAAGATGATAGCCAGTGGTGTGACAACACATCAATTAATAAAAAGACCAGATTATTCCTGCTCACTATATGAGTGTAGTTTGCGAGATTAAACAATGGTTGTACATATGAAACAGATTTAGAATTTCGGTGAGTGTAATAACTGACTGACCATTCTAATTATGTATGCCTTAACAAAGAGTTGTGTGGCTAGTTATATCAGGAAATCGAATCTAAAGTAGGTCCCCAGCAAACAGAATTTACGAAAAGCAGCCTTCATACAGTAAAGGGACATTGACAGATTAATGTTGTGGTAGAAGAGTGGGGGGAACATTTTTCTAAATAGCCGAGTCCACTGGGAAAAAAAAGGTCATACCTCATATTGCTGCGTGTTCTAGACTGTATTAGTCAGCTATCAACATGCTTAGCCTATCTCTGTCAGTAGGTGGGCATTGGGCTGGTGAGTTAACATGGTAGGTAGCTTATTAGGTTAACCACGGAAGCTGGCCTCTCGTTGTGGCTGCAGTAACCTGGTGGAGGGCCGTGTGGGCATGGGAGACAGAACTAACATTGTCTAGGCAGCTACCTAAATAATAAGGTCAAGAAAACAATAGTAAAATAGTAAAATAGGCAAGCTTCAGCTTTGGATCTCAGTTGTGAGGCACAGCAAGTCCCCCTGCCCGGCACAACCGATCTCTCTGGGCTGCGGATCTGGAGAGTGTCCTTAAGAGTGGTATGGGTGGTCGACAGATGTCTTTGTTCCGGCAACAGATAAGGAGTGACAGTCATGAAGGGTTAGGGAGTCAGCCGATGCCTTTAATGGGCCATTTTAAACAGTCTCTGTCCAGGTGAGCCATGGGGTATGTAGGATGGACCGGACCACTGTGAGTTTCAGTTCCCATTGCTTTTGTCCATCTCCGACCTTTGCCACCTCCAGCCCTGCTCCAGGGGGTCCGGTGTGTCCTGGCCATTGCAAGGCCGCCTGTTCAGTTGCTTGGGAGCGGAGGGGTGTAACGTCCCCTTGCTGAGTGGCTGCGGCTCTGGTCGCTGTTGTGTTGGCGTTGCCGCCATTGTGGGCCTTGTGCTTAGTCGTCTTCTCAGGTGTGTTATGCCGCTCTTCGGTTTTTGCAGGGCCATTGCGCCATGGTGGGCCAGCCTTTGGCGGTGTGGCATGGGAGTCTCTGGGTTCTTGGCCACTCTGTGCTGGCGGCGTCTGCACCGGTGTTTGCCCGTCGCACGAGTGAGGTGTGTGGGGCAAGCCATGTTACTCCCCGCAACTGCACTTGTCGGACCCTGGAACGTGCCTCCTGGTGTGGTCCCCGAATAGGGGGTCTGCATGAGGGCCCTTTAGCCATTCCCAGAGTGCGCTGAAGATGCGGTTATAGTGACGCTCAGTTTCCCTGCTGATGTCGCTCTAGGCTGCGGCGAGTGAGCCTTCCGCCACGTTGTAGGCCTTGTTAGCAGCCTCCAGGCTGCAGAGCCGTATCGCTCTAGTGTAGCTGGGGGGTTGAGTTGGGGTGGACCGGGATATCCCCCGCCAGTCCATAGGGGGGGAGCGAAGACTCTGGGTCAGATTTTCGGCCGTGTTTGGCAGCGAGAAAGAGGCCGTCTCTCCTGCGCCTTCCATGCTGTTAGGCCTCATCCGTGTGGCTGGTACGGACCGGGTTAAATGTCACTTATGTGGTATCTTTGAGTTTGTCCCAGTTTTCCCTTTCACTTGGTGGCCTTTGTTTAGCTTTTTAGTGTAGTTTCTGTAGCTTTATTCGTATTTTTCCGCTTTGAGTAGCAGGAGTTGCTGAGACTTGCATCCTCTCAGTCCTGTGGTCAGGGCCCGCCCCCCGAGACACCTAATTTTACCCCACAAAACTGGGAAAACCTATTGTGTACAGTGTGTGTGTATGAGTGCAGTGTGTGTGTGTGTATGAATGGTGTGTGTGTGTATGAGTGCAGTGTGTGTGTGTATGAATGCAGTGTGTGTGTGTGAGTGCAGTGTGTGTGTGTGTATGAATGCAGTGTGTGTATGAGTGCAGTGTGTGTGTGTGTGTGTATATGAGTGCAGTGTGTGTGTGTATGAATGCAGTGTGTGTGTATGAGTGCAGTGTGTGTGTGTGTATGAATGCAGTGTGTGTGTGTGTGTATGAGTGCAGTGTGTGTATGTGATGCAGAGCCTTGGTGGGGGGTGGGCATTTTTAGAATTTTTTAAAATTATTATTATTTTTTATTTTATTTATATTATTATTTATTTATTTATATTTTTTTTGTCCCCCTTCCCTGCTTGTTAGGGGGGGCTCTCATTCCCTGGGGGTCCAGTGCATGGGCTGTGTAGGATTGGGGCTGGCAGCGAGCTGTTACTTACCTTTCCTGCAGCTCCTGTCAGCTCCCTTCTCTCTCCTCCGGTCCGGTCAGCTCCCTTCTCCTCCACTGTAAGTCTCACGGTCTGACTGCCGCGCGGAGCGTTGCCATGGTAATTTACAGTGGAGCTGACAGGGGAGCTGACCGGACCGGAGGAGAGAGAAGGAAGCTGACAGGAGCTGCAGGAAAGGTAAGTAACAGCTCGCTGCCAGCCCCCAACAGGACCGCCGGGCTTGTAATGAGCCCTGCGGTCCTGGTCTGTATTATGGCAATGTAAGTTGCCATAATACAGACATTGACTCGAGTATAAGTCGAGTGGGGGTTTTTCAGCACAAAAAATGTGCTGAAAAACTCGACTTATAAACGAGTATATACGGTATATGAAGATAGTCTATAATGGTATAGATATTATAGTTATATGAAGATAATCTATAATAGTATAGATATTATAACTAGAGATGTCCCAAACAGTTCGCTGGCGAATAGTTCCCGGCGAACATCGCATGTTCGCGTTCGCCACGGCGGGCGAACATATGCGATGTTCGGTCCACCCCCTATTCCATATCATTGAGTAAACTTTGACAACCCCCCACCCACTGCTCGGGAGTGTGGGGTTGTCAAAGTTTACTCAATGATATGGGGGGGGACCTACTGTCCTCCCCCCGGCCCCCACCCCTGAGCGGTGGATGGGGGCCCTAAAAAAAACAATAGAAGGGGAACTTCTGTCCCCCCCCGGCCCCCACCCCTGAGTGGTGGGTGGGGGCCCTAAATACTAAGAAGGGGGGGACCTAAGGTCCTCCCCCCTGGCCCCCACCCCTCAGCGGTGGGTCGGGGCCCTAAATACTAAAAAGGGGGGGACCTAAGGTCCTCCCCCCTGGCCCCCACCCCTGAGCGGCGGGTGGGGGCCCTAAATACTAAAAAGGGGGGGACCTAATGTCCTCCCCCCCGGCTCCCACCCCTGAGCGGTGGGTGGGGGCAAATATATCACAATGGGGGGGGACCTAAGGTCCTCCCCCCTGGCCCCCACCCCTGAGCGGTGGGTGGGGGCCCTAAATACTAAAAAGAGGGGGACCTAAGGTCCTCCCCCCTGGCCCCCACCCCTGAGCAGCAGGTGGGGGCCCTAAATACTAAAAATGGGGGGGACCTAATGTCCTCCCCCGGCCCTCACCCCTGAGCGGTGGGTGGGGACCCTAAATACTAAAAAGGGGGGGGACCTAAGGTCCTCCCCCCTGGCCCCCACCCCTGAGCGGCGGGTGGGGGCCCTAAATACTAAAAAGGGGGGCCTAAGGTCCTCTCCCTCGGCCCCCACCCCTGAGCGGTGGGTGGGGGCAAATAAATCACAATGGGGGGGGGACCTAAGGTACTCCCCCCTGGCCCCCACCCCTGAGCAGCGGGTGGGGACCCTAAATACTAAAAAGGGGGGGACCTAATGTCCTCCCCCCGGCCCCCACCCCTGAGCGGCGGGTGGGGACCCTAAATACTAAAAAGGGGGGGCCTAAGGTCCTCCCCCCGGCCCCCACCCCTGAGCGGCAGGTGGGGGCCCTAAAAAAAATGTCCCCCCCCAGGTGACTAGGGGTCCCCAAACCCCTAGTCACCCCTCCCCCCCAAAAAAAATTAACCCCCTACCTACCCCCTCACCCTAAAAATAATGAGGGGGGGACCTTTAACTAAGTACCTGTAAAAAAAAAATAAAACTTACCATTCGATGTTTTCTTTCTTCTAAATCTTCTTTTTTCAGCCCCAAAAAAGGCCAAATAAAAAACCATAATAACCGACGCAATTAAAAAAAAACGAGCGCCAAAAAAAATAATCCATCTTCACCCAGTGAGGGCTCCGCGCAGACTGAGCTCTGCAGGGCGGGGGAAGGCTTATAAAGCCTTGCCCCGCCCTGCAGTCTCTTCATTTACCTGTCAGAGCACTCTGATTGGATGGCTTAAACCCACCAATCAGAGTGCTCTGAGCCTAATTGCAGGGCGGGGCAAGGCTTTATATGCCTTCCCCCGCCCTGCAGAGCTCAGTCTGCGCGGAGCCCTCGCAGGGTGAAGATGGATTATTTTTTTTGCGCTCGTTTTTTTTATTTTTTTATTGCGTCGGTTATTATGGTTTTTTTATTTGCCCTTTTTTGGGGCTGAAAAAAGAAGATTTAGAAGAAAGAAAACATCAAATGGTAAGTTTTATTATTTTTTTACAGGTACTTAGTTAACGGTCCCCCCCTCATTATTTTTAAGGTGAGGGGGGTAGGTAGGGGGTTAATTTTTTTTTAGGGGGGAGGGGGTGACTAGGGGTTTGGGGACCCCTAGTCACCTGGGGGGGACAACATTTTTTTTAGGGCCCCCACCTGCCGCTCAGGGGTGGGGGCCAGGGGGGAGGACCTTAGCACGTATTTAGTATTTAGTATTTAGGGTCCCCACCCGCCAGTCAGGGGTGGGGGCCGGGGGGAGGACATTAGGTCCCCCCCCTTTTTAGTATTTAGGGCCCCCACCCGCTGCTCAGGGGTGGGGGCCAGGGGGGAGGACCTTAGGTCTCCCCCCATTGTGATTTATTTGCCCCCACCCACCGCTCAGGGGTGGGGGCCGGGGGGGAGGACATTAGGTCCCCCCCCTTTTTAGTATTTAGGATCGGAGTTTGCATGCCACAGTCCAGGTGTTAGTCCCCTTGAAACAACTTTTCCATCACTTTTGTGGCCAGAAAGAGTCCCTGTGTGTTTTAAAATTCGCCTGCCTATTGAAGTCTATGGCGGTTCGCCCGGTTCGCGGGTTCGCGAACATTTGCCGAAATTCGACATCACTAATTATAACTATATGAAGATAATCTATAATAGTATAAATATTATAGCTATATGAGGATAATCTATAATAGTATAAATACTATAGCTATATGAGGATAATCTACAATAGTGTAGTTATTATGATACAAACAGACTGTGGCCACATTACAGTATGTTTTGTTATAATGCTTAAATTTGGGTTTGCTCTAAATACAGATTAAACGTTTGTTCTAAATACCGATGAAACTGTTTTGTCCGTATTTAAAGAATTTTTTTTTTTAGCTTTCAATCACAGAAAAATCACCATGTAACGCCGCCTCAAGCTGTGATTCTTTTGATTTACTTGCTTAGATGACGCTATCATGCACATACATGTATTCTGATGCTGTTTTACACACAGTGGGGAGGTCATTAAGAAATATCAAGAATAAAAGAGGCCAATAACTGAACCCTGGGGGATTCCATGTAACTTTGAGCAAGTCAGAGACACCACTGGCAATGGACACAAGTTGGTCAATGTCAGATAAAAATGTGTCACAACATGAATTAAAGTCATATAAACTTAAAGAGCAAACAGAAGGTTGGAACTTGAAAGATGTTTAAAAAAAAACACATGCCTTTAGATGACTTAAATTGACAACTGGGAAATTACTCTTAAATTTAAATTTAAAAAAAAGAGATGATCATTTGCAAGTAAACCAAAACACATGGCAATAAAACATTTATAAACATAACCAGGTGCATGTTTTCTCTTAAACACCTGTTTTGCGACACTATAAATATTGTGGACATTTAAATAGCTTCTACTAAACATGTTAAACGATAAATAATAATAATTAATATTGTCTTGGAAGTGAGAAGTCCAGTTTTTAAACTGTTAAAAGTGATCTAATTGGATTAAATGCCAGTGTTCAAGTGCTAAATGGAAGTTATTTAGATATTTTATTAATGTAGAGGAAATATCCCATTATTCTTCTCTGTCTTACCTAGACTATCTTTGTTATTTACACTGGCTGGG